AATACATAGATATACCAAAAGCTGCTCATCTAAGTTAATCCATTAGGTTATTAAGGGGGTGATTGTATACAATTTGTACACTAAAAAAAACCAATCAAAACTCAAATTTAACTAACTCAACTCCACTATCTCCAATATTATCAATATAATTAAATAATATCAACCAATCATTCTTACACATCACATCAACTTTAATTCACTATTCATCTACTCACATAATTTTAACTAACTATCACCTCCAATCATTTTCTCTTATTTTTACATCAAATTAATTTTAATTATTTTATTTTAAATATTATTTTAATATATCCACGAACAACTAACCATACCACCTTTTTCAAACTTAACTATAGTTAAAAAATAACCAATTTTTTACTAGTTGAATTCATATCCAATCACCCCTTAAAGAGTTGAGTGGGATTTGTTATATTTCTCTTTCAGTTTTCCTGTTCCAGGAGTTATTTTTCGATTTTGATTTAGTTAAAATTAATTTTCATTCAAAGTTGAAATGATTACATATTCATATACTATTACAACCTTAGCATGATCATATACAGAAAACCTTGTCATGATCGTACAAAAACAGTTATATATTTGAGGCCTTTGTTTATATTATTAAATCGAGTATTGTTTGACAAAACTATAAACCTTCATGTTAAAGACCATTTTCATGGCATATGAGACGATCTAACTTCTAAACGGATTGACTCGTCGTACATTTTTAACAATAAGATATTTGTTCATACTGAACACAAACCAATCGGTAGAGAACATTATTTACCATGCTAAAATGCAACCACCGAGTATGTATGACAAAGCTAGAGCCACATAAACCGTAAACCCAAATCTGCCAATGTCAACAAAAATGGCTAAAAAGTTGCAAATCAAATCAGACCATTCTTGATAAATACGAGTTTCTTGATAAATCAGTTGAGTCAATCCCTCTCCATTTGTTGGTGATAAAGTACTTCTCTCATTATCCTCATCTCAGCCTCCTCCTCCTCCTCCATTCTATCCTTGTGCAGGTTACAACAATCATAGGACGGGCGAAAAGAAGTTAAACGTCTAATTACAAAACACATCCTTGATGTTCGATCTAATTTAACAAAAAACCACACTGCCTTTCCCAATATTAGATAACCCCTTACTATTTTGTTTTCTTCAAATAATATCCGTCAAGAGAAGGACGTGCATTGTAATCAGGCCAAACGAGATGTGTAGTCTTTTTGTAGTCATACGTTGAATTTTAATTGATCATTCATGCACGAACACAAACGCATTATTAGCACCAAACACATACAACAAAAATGTTCCTCGAATAAGAGTAATAAGGCCAAAGATCACAACAACAAAACAGTGCACAATCAAGAAGCAAATTCAACAAACAGAACACCCAAAATCAGTGCTTGCAATACGCAAAAAAACGAGCGGATCAGAAGTTCCATAATCCCACTTCTTAGCAAAGATAAAATCTCACATATCACCAACATTACCTCCAAGATCACCATGAAATTAAATCCAACACCAGACAACACCAAACAACCAAGAAATTAAATCCAACACCAGACAACACCAAACAACCAACGGGATCAAAGGACCCAAATCAAAATACAGGGGGAAAAAAATTATACAAAAGAAAAGACAATTGTTGCTAATTAAGTAGACTTTTGAATTTCCAAATTTTTAAGAGCACAATCATAAACTCGGATCTAGAGTGTAGACCAACAAATTACAAATTTAGGAGATTCATTATTTTCTAAATTTCATGTTGTCATTGATTCAGGCGAAGCTTAGGTTAGAGGACAAACCAAATAAATCATACACGAGGTTGTTTTACTTGATACATACATCTAAGAGTTTTAATATTACCTTTACTTCACTTCTTGAGATACCTCCTAACGTTAAACCATCCTTGGTCGCATATGAGCGCCGTGGCATTGGGGGCAATGAAGAGCCTGGCATCGTTATAGAACCAAAAAATAGCTCTGAGCCGACTTAGAGAGATGGGCAGATCTCGTTGTAACTGTGCTAGAGCTTCATACCACTCTTGAAAATTGCGTGGGACTAAACCGTGGGGAGGATTATCTCCGACTTGACAGACCGGGTTCAAGTTGAGCCCTGGAACATCCGGAGGGTCCACAAATGGATGGCCGGCATGCTGCTTTGGCAATACTTCGAAATCTACCAGGAGCATGTTGCGTTTGATGGACCGATTGAAGGCTCTCGCTGAAACTACCCTGATGGTTGCGTCCAACCTCGTGTTGACTTGATTTATGGCCTGCTCAAGTTGGGCATGACTTTGTTGAAGTTGAGCTTGGCCATCTTGGAGGGCCTGAATTATTTCCATGAGTTGTGGGTCGATTGGTGCCATACTGCAGGATTTGGGATTTGGAAGTGATCGTGCGAGAGAGAGAAGCTAGGGCTGATTAGAGTTGTGGAGATGGAGAGTCTCGTGCAGTAAAGTAAACCATTCTTTTGAATGGGTTGGGCCATTCAATTTGGGCTACATTTGTTAGATGGTGGGATTCTAAAATATACATTTGTGAGATCAACTGCTTAATATTGAAACATATTCAATTTTTGTCAGTAAATTTAGTTCCTCTATCTACAAAATTATTTTTATTTATATATCTATAATTTTTTTTAACTTTAAATTATTAACTAACACTGTTTTATAAATGATTGTAATTTATTCTTGTAATTGGTTTCTAAAGTTTTGCTATAGAACCATCGGATGGTTCGGTTTATGGAGTCATTCACACTTATTCACCAATAGTGTATTGACACGTGTCCTGCAATAAATATACTTTAAACAGGTGTCAATACATTAAGTGGTGGATGACTCCATAAGAAAATTATCCGATGGCTCCATATAATTTTTGTTGGTTTCCAAATTCCATCATTTTTTTTTTTTTTTAATTTACGACTTATTAGTGAATATTGTATTTATGATTTTACTTTAAATAACCATAATCTTGTAATATTTTTTTCCAAAAGGTAGAAAATAAGGCAAATTTCTTTTCGTTAGTGTAAGTGAAATGCTCACAAAATCTATATCCCATTTAATTTATGACTTTCCCCCCCACTTAATGCAATCTTCCTGGAAACAGAAAAATAAATAAAAGGAGGGGCAGAACTCCGTATTGCAAAGAGCATCGAATATTTTTTCGTGGGGACACCAACTACTAAGTTTCATTTAATTTTTCTTTGAGGTGATAAGGAGATGATAGAATATATTGTCGAGCACCTCTTATGATTGATAATAATAATTAATCTATACTTATATTAAAAGGTATACCATTTACCAGATTTAGTATAAAAAAAAGTCAACAACATTTATTGCATTACTATTTTCGTATTATACAATCTATTTATACTTATATAAAAGGAGATTCTATTTATATCCAGAAAAGTCAACTGCATTAAATGCCATTATTATTTTGGTATTATAATATTTTATTTATTTAATTGATTTATTATTTGTTTTATTTTAAAAAGGTAAATATAATAAAAAGTTTTTAATAATAAAAAAAATCAAATACCAAATAAAAATGTACACTTTGACTTATTTAATTATATTTGGTATTTGATTCTACCAAATACATTCCTATTTAGTATATACATTAAATACTTACTAAAGTATTTATTTGTTTTATTTGTCAAAGTTAAGTATAGATTTGTATATATTATCAAATCATAAAAAATATTAAATCCATATTGTAAAAAAAAAAAAAATATCATATAATTTTATAACAATTCTACTACACTATTTAACAATATTTCTTTTTTATTATATAATAAAATAATAATTAAATATTATATGGTGAACAACAATAAGTAAAACTGTTACTTTCTCTTATATCAAGGGATAAATTTATATGCTAAAATTATATTTTTATTAGTATAAATGTTTTAGTGAGATAATATATTAATTATTTTACAAGCTAGCCTAACATGCTCATATTTAATGTTTTAAAAGATGTAGAAAAAAAAACTTATAATAACTCTATTGTTTTTTAGACTTAAACGTTGATTAACACCGTAGATTGAGAGTTTATATTTAGTAAAATTCCTAATTGTAATAAAAAAAATTAATTTTGCTATATTTTTGAATATCTTTAAATTCATTATAAAAAGAAAAGAAAAAAAATTACAATGAAAAAAGCAAGTCAGCTATATATCGATTTGTTGTAATCCTCCAATCACATTCACAATTTGGCTACAAAGAAAGGAAACTCATTGATTAAAATATTATTTTGTCAGTAGTCTTAATGTACAATAGACTTTAAGACTCCACTTGAATATTATAAAACTTTTATTGAACATTGTACAATTTTCTAGCGTATTATAAATTTTTGTTGAATATTGCATCTTATAATATAATATTCTCCAAATAATTATATCTCGTGCTTCGCACGGGTCACGTACTATATATATTCCATACATTTTTCTTTATTCATGTATATAATTATAAGCCTGGATAAATAGCCTTAAAATTGTCCACCCCGTGCATCGCACGGGCTCTGTACTAGTTTTATATTATCAAATATCACCCAAGTTGATTTTGCACTTCTAGTTTTCTGCCTCATCATAATATGCATAGAAACATATTAGGCCACTTCTTCCCCAAAATGGCTAAAGTCTATGGAATCTATCTATCTTCCGTCTTGACCGTAAAGGGCCGATCTTAAGTCCATTAGCAACTAAATTTGCTCTAATTAGCACACACTTTCCAACTGTAATTGATTACAATATAGACACTCATAATTAGCATCAAATTTGAAAAAATAAAAAATAAAATAAATGTTTATTCGTCGGGATAGGTAAATTCGACTCAACATGCTCTTATCGAATTTTTGGATTTATATACACACATGTGTATTTTGATTCAACAGTTTTCCTATAGAGCCATCAGATGGCTCGATTTATGGAGTCATCCACACTTATTCGCCATTAGTGTATTGACACGTGTCCTGCAAATAAATATAATTTGGACAGGTGTCAATACATTAAGTGGTGGATGGCTCCATAACAAAACTATCCGATGGTTCTATAGAATTTTTGTTTGATTCAATGTAAAAAATTCGATCAAATTTGCACCATCACATGTGTAGTCGAACTTTTGGTCGAGAAATATGGATAAAAGTGATAACTGGGGAAGTGAATTATACCACAAAATAATGTGTATAGAAAATAAAATAAAGTTAGAAGTACAATTTATCTATTTTTTTCGTAGAATATATTACGATTTCTATGATCGAGTGATTTTATATGAACTATTTCGATTTAATACATGCAAGATGCCACTAATCACTTTAATTAAAGTAAATATATAGTCTGTTATTATTATGAGTATAATTGATAATGTAAGAAAATTTGTCTTTTACTGATTTGTCATTCATTTTCTCGTCAGTTGATAATATAGGGAAAATCTCTAAATCATTTTACGGTAATTGATATATTATTTTTAAGTTATATATATGAGTAACCACAAGTTTTGGTAGCTTAAAATTGAGTTTAAATAGCTAAAAAGTTAGTTAATCGAAAACTAATAAGCGTGAGAGAGTGTTGTTGGACGCTTGTAGACACGAGGCCACGACTGCCCTGCAGATCCCGCGACCCTAGAAACTCTTGCTCACCAATACTGCGGACTTGGTTTGGGTGCGTTTGTTCATTTTCAAACTCTTTTCAAAAGGTATCTTTTGGTCCATGCAACCAGCGATGAAGTACTTGCATATCTATTAATGCCCCAAATGTTTTGAACTTTTATTCGTGCGAATTAAACTAATAATAATTAACGTGTTATAAAGTAAGATATCGTAACATAACATCTTGTATTCATTAATTTTATTTATTTATTTTTATGTAGACGAATAAGTTGGTCGAAAATTTTGTATATTTGAAATGACACTATATAGAAGACAATGTCGTTGTATCTTGGAGACATCTGTTGATAAGCGTGAACATTAAACGGTATAGCAATTTCGTCTTATGAATAACGTACTTCACATGCCTCAGACTTTGATCAAATTTACTATTATATACATTTTAAATATAATTTAATTGTAAATTCAAAATCATCTATCCAACTTAATTTATTTAAAATAACTCACTTTAACTTACTTTTTAATTTTTTATCAAACAAAACAAGTCAAAACCGATTGAATTCATTTCTAATCACACCCTATCCCTCACAAATGTATCTTTAAAATTTTCACAAGCACTGTATATAGTTAGTTTTTTACGAGAACCTCATAGTTAGTCTTGCATTTGACTATTCCAGATGCTTCAAATCCAACATACATATCTAATCCAAGTTTATGGGCCACAAAAGAAGAGGCCAATAAACAAAAGATAGTTAATTTGTTCATAATGTGTTGCTTTTCAGGACAAAATGTCTTGCCACGAGGAAGGTTAAAGAAATCTATTCTTCTGAAGGTGCTACTGGATATTATTGAATCAGTACAAGAAAACGATAAAATTTCAACGGAAATATATTTCAATAGAATTCTAACGGTTATTCCAATGGATATTTCAATGTTATTATTTCCGTTGGAATAATTCCAACGGAAATTTCTACAAAAATATTCCGTTAAAATGAGTTTTCCATTAGAATTTCTGTTGAATTTTGACGATTCCAACGGTAGATTTTTTTTTATATCTCATGGATCAATTTTGACCGGTTTTTTTCGGTAATTACGGTATGACCCCGGTACAAACCGGTATTCTGTGTGCAATTATACCATACCAATGACCGGTATCTGATACTACCCATATTACCGGCCGGTATGGTACGGTATTGAAAACACTGAGTCAAACTAAACAATTGTTGTTGTAATAATAATACTATCGATGATGATGATGAAGATGATGATGATCGTGATCATGATTATGATGATATTCTTTTTTCAATCAATATAGTGATTTATATATATTTAAATAATTTATATTTATATCATTTTATTTTTACTAATTATCAAATTTTGAAAATGTAATATGTTCATTAACTATAATTTTAAAATTCACACATATTACTTATAGTATTTTATTTATATGTGCATGTGCACAGGATATTTACAAATTTGAAGTAAAATCCTCTTGCATTTATTCAGTAATAGTTACTATTAATTAAATAATTTTTAATTGCAGATATAACTATACTATTTCCTTATAACGTCACGTTAATTAGTAATTTTTCACTTCACAATAATTTGCATTAAAAGTAATTAATTTCACAAATCAATTTCACATGAATCTGCATTAAAATAATTAAATTTAAATTAATATGTATATCAAGATTTGTACTAATCCTTCTCAAAATATCTAAGTCTCTATATATAATAAAAAGGAGTTGGAACACGGTTCCTTCTACTATTTTTTTATTTCTTAATAGCCTCTTCTTTTGACATGTGTACTTTCACTATTAAATTGCCTAATTTGCCCTTGGTTCATTGTGTCTTTTGGCCTACCAAATTATTATTATTATTATTATTTTATTTCTTTCTTTTTCTTCTTCTTCTACGGTTAGCCAATGAGTGGGTTTCAACAGTTTCTCAAAAATTCCTCTTTCTTCATCTTTATACCTTCATCATGTTAGAACTTCTTATTTTTTCAGTCAAAATTGCAAATAAAATCTTGCATAAACGCCCCAAAATTTGGCAATCTCCGCCGTCCACAGAAACTTCGCCGCCGCGAAGTCGATCGGGATGGGGCAAGGCGATCGGGCTGAACCACTGCAGCCCAAAATCTCAACTGTCTATTTCCCGAGCCGCGAAGTCCCCAAACATATACCATTCTTTTCCCCAAGGATCGTACGCTGCTCGAAAATGCGAGGGATCATATTTGCTCGGTGATCCTCCATACAAGTACAAACATAATGAAGGTAATTTTTCCTTTATTTTATATTATTTCTATTTTTTATCTATTTTTTATATTTTTTTTCTATTTTTTATGTAATTTTTTTTTTTATTCTATAAATTTTAGATCAGTGATTTTGTTCATAATGGGCAGCTTTAGGTAGAATTTTAATATTTTAGTTCTCTTGAAAGTTCTCTGTGTGTCTAGATATTACTAGATATGGATTAAATAAGAGAATAAAATTAATGCATTTCTTGTGTTTAACTTATTTTATAAATATAAAATATGGTGGCTGATGTGATTTAGAATTATTTGGTCTGCAATGGTTGCAGGCTTTTATAGATTACAATCTTTCTATTTCTATTTAGACATATTTTATAAATAATATTAGCCATTAGATTTTCTTGGGATTCTTAATATGAGTTTCTTTTGGACAGCTGTGAACTTATGCTTCAATAAATTCTACCTTCACAATAATAACATTACATCTTCAAACCAAGAGTTCAACTTTTACAAAGCTTTTACAAAACGTCCGCTTCTCTCCATCTTACAGCTACAGGTATTCCTTTGATGTTTTGTTCTCTCCATCTTTCTATCTTCTCATGAATTTTACAGATCACCTGTTTCGATCTGGCTTTAATAGATACTGAATCTTATAACTTCGAATCTAACTGTTCCCCCTCTCTTTCAAAGTCTATCAAACACTTGCAGATCATAAAAAACAAACACTAAACTAAATTAACATCACACAAAAAGTAGGAAGAGCAAAAACATTAAATGTCACAAATAAACTTTTAAAATGTACTTTGCTCCAAGTATTGAGAAGGCTTAATCATAATTACTTACGCATTAAGAAATACTTTCTGTAGGGGATTTAATTTTTGAGTACTTAAAAAAATTACAGATTTTTTGTTTTGTACATAATGTCTATACTATAGTTTACGAGTTTTCTTTCAAATTTTTATAAAGAATAAGTAAAGGTAACCAGAAGTTCAAATTTAGTATATTGTGTACAATGCTTAGTTGATCCTATAATTATTATTTTTCAGGTTGGTCACAGTTCTTCTGTAAGGTCTGAAAGTTGGTTAATTAGTATTTTCAGGTATTATTATTTTAGTTATTTTAAAAGTATTGTAGTCTTCACTTTGAATATAATCATGTTTTCTACATGTTATAATCATCATAGTTTTCTTCAATAAACATACATATTTTACTGATTTTGTGAAGTTGTTGTTGTTGTTGGTTATGCCAATGTAACCTCAAGTTTGAAAGGATAAAGTTTGAAGAAAAGGAAGTCAAAAATCGTTGTCCAGGTACGTTTTTTCTTACTCTTCTTTAAAATTGGTAATTGTCATGTTATTGTCTGCATATTTTTTTCTCATGTTATTTTTCTCTCTCTCTTTTTTTCTTTTTAAGCATGTTAGTAATATTGTCTTTTTCATGTTCAGGGATATTACTATGGATAGTGAGAATTATGCTCGTAGACAATATGCACTTATTAAATGGAAAAAGAAAAAAAATGAAAAAGACGCGAAAAAAATTATATGTAACGATATCAGTTTGAACATCAATAATTATAATCAATCTTCATCCAAAATACCTCTCCAATTTAAATCTTGTTTACCTGGTCAAAATTATGATGTTTTGTGGAACAATAAAATGGAACAATACATTAGAGATTGCAAAAAAAAGGCCCAGATTAATAACACATCCATTAGATTGAATGAAACTAATAACTCAATAGGATACACAAACTCCATACAACCTTACAGTATTAGCACTCATTCACAAAACCAGCCTATAGAAAATTTAAAAAATTCTAAAACCATATGGTCTTTTGAATCTGGCAGCATCCTTCAGACAAATTATTGCAATAACTCAATTAATATCCAACAAAGTAATAATTCTTCAAATGTAATAACTCCATCAAACAGCACATCAAACAACACAGGTAAATATTTAAATCATGCATCATACTGTTTTATATTGTTGTGTATATATATATATATTCTAACTTATATTTTATAGTATCAGGAAATTTAGAAAATTTGGAAGTTACTAAAACCTGCAAAAAACGAAAAAGAACAGGTAAAGTTTTCCACTAATTACTGGTATTTTTAATATATATATAGCGTACTACATAATTTTTCATTCATTTGAATTTAATTTTTATTATAATAATGATAGGTGAATCACAAAGAGAAGGTAGAAATTTATTACAATGTGTATCATCCGAGCCTTGGGTGTTTAAAGAGAACCCAAAATGCATATATTGTGGAGCTGTGAGGATGCCTTATGAAAGTCCAAAATTTTGTTGTCGTGATGGAAAAATAGTTTTGACAGCCAACTCAATTCCAGAAAGTCTTAAAAATCTTTTAACGGCAACTTCAGAAGAGGCAAATCTATTCCGAACATACATAAGAACTATTAACAATATGTTTGCTTTTACATCTCTTGGAGTCAAAAGTGATAGAGATTTGGAAAAACAAAACAAAGGAATTTATACATTTAGAATTCAAGGACAAGTATATCATTTCATTAATGATTTATCTACCTCAAAAAATCTTCAATTATATTTTTATGATACTGAAAATGAACTTTCAAATCGTATCATTGCTTGTCCAAGAGTGACTGAAAGTGTAATTGAAAAAGTTATTGATGTCCTTAAAGAAAATCCATACGGACAATTCTTTCGAGCATTAAACAAAAAAGAAAATCTTGAAAATTATCAAATAATATTGAGAGCTATTCCTGAGCTAGATCAGCGAGTTTACAATAAACCAGAGGTGTCTCAAGTTGCAGCATTATGGATAGAGGGAGAAGAAAATGGTGAGACGGGCCGTAGAGATATTAAAATACAGAGTCATGGTGGTTATACATATAATGTTGAATATTATTATGGTTGCTATGATCCTTTACAATATCCATTACTTTTTCCTTATGGCGAACTAGGCTGGCATCAAGGTATTCCTAAGATAGATACATCAAGGAGTAATTTATCATTTACAATGCATAATAATAGAAAATATATATCTCCATCATCAGTAGCTACTGCGGAAGAGTTATTAATAAGGGAACACGAAGGTTGGTATTTGTATTTAAATTTTACTTGGAAAAATAATATATTATATTCTTTTTATTCAACATATATATACTAACATGATATAATTCCAATGGCAGGATTAATGGGATATAAAAGTAACCCAAATTTTGTCTCTGTCCGAGAATACTATGCTTATAAGTTACAAATAAGAGATCATGATGAATCTTACTTACTTCATTATGGTAGATTGTTACAACAGTATGTTGTGGATATGTATGTGAAACTCGAATCCCAAAGACTAGACTTTTATAAATTACAACAAGATGAAATAAGAAGAGAATTTTTGCAAGGTGTACAAGATTCATTAGCTGCTGGTGAAAATGAAGCTTCCAAAATTGGACAAAGAATAATCCTACCAGCATCGTTCATAGGAGGACCACGTAATATGAGAAAGAAATATATAGATGCCATGACATTAGTTCAAAAATATGGAAAACCAGATATTTTCTTAACAATGACATGTAATCCAAATTGGCCAGAAATAAAAAGACATTTATTTCCTAATGAAGAAGCACATAATAGACCTGATTTAACTACAAGAGTTTTTCATACAAAATTGGAAGAACTAAAAAATGATATTTTAAAAAGACATATTTTTGGAGAAGTTGCTGCTTACACTTATGTAATAGAATTTCAAAAACGAGGTCTACCTCATGCTCATTTTTTGATCATTTTAAAATCACAACATAAAATGTACAGCCCCGAAGAGTATGATAAAATTGTTAGTGCAGAAATTCCAAATAAAAGATTAAATATTCATTTATATAACATGGTAAAAAAACATATGATACATGGTCCTTGTGGTGCTCTTAATCCTCATAATGTGTGTATGTCAAGAAAAGGTAGATGCAAGAATTTATATCCAAAACAATTCTGTGCAGAAACTACACAAACTGAAGGTGCATATCCAAAATATAGACGTAGAGATAATGGTTCTAAAATAAAAATTCGAGGACACACACTTGACAATCGATGGGTGATACCATATAATCCATATTTATTAGCAAAATTCAATTGTCATATAAACGTTGAAATTTGTTCAACTGTCCGTGCAGTAAAATATATATATAAATATATATGTAAAGGACATGACAGAATAAGCTTTCATGTAGAAACTGGTAAATCTCCTAATGAAATTGATGAAATACAACAATATCGTTGTGCACGTTGGGTATCGCCACAAGAAGCTGCATGGAGAATATTTAGATTTTCTATGGGTGAGATTAAACCAGCAGTCATTCAACTTCCAGTTCATTTGGAAAATTACCAAACAGTCAGTTTCCGCAAAAAAGATAGATTGGAAAATGTACTAAATAATCCAAGAAATAGACGAACTATGTTAACTGAATTTTTCTACATGAACAGAACTGATCCTGAAGTGGCCGCCCTTAACTTAACATATGTAGAATTTCCACATTATTTCGTTTGGTTAACTGATGAAAGACGTTGGAAAAAACGAATTCAAAGAGATATTGTAGGTAGAATGAGCACAGTACATCCAATTGAAGGAGAACGTTATTATCTAAGAATTCTTTTGAAAATAGTAAGAGCACCAAAATCTTATATTGATTTAAAATCATACAATGGTATAGTATCTAACACATATCGTGAAGCGGCACTCATGAGAGGTTTACTGAAAGACGACACCAGTCAAGATAACTGTCTTCAAGAAGCTTCTCTATTTAGTATGCCGTATGAACTTAGAAGACTTTTTGCTACTATCTTAGTATATTGTTGTCCACCTAACCCAACACTATTATGGGACAAATATGAATATGCTATGTCAGAGGACTTTATAAGACAAGCAAACTTGAGTTCCACTGAAATAAGAAAAAAAGTATTGCAACAAATAAGTGAATTCCTAGAATCAATGGGAAAAGATATATCATCATATAATTTAGTTCCTTCACATATGTTAGCATTTAATATGCTTAAACAAACACGAGAAATAATAGCAGAAAAAAGTATAGTTGTAAGCAAGGAAGATCTAAATGCAATAAATCATCTAAATGAAAAACAAAAGAAAATTTTTAACATTATTACTGAAAGAATCTATCAAAAGAAAAAGGGAGCTTTTTTTATAGATGGTCCTGGTGGTACTGGAAAATCATTTTTATATAGAGCATTACTAGCAGACGTTAGATCTAAAGGATATATAGCATTAGCAACAGCAACATCAGGTGTAGCTGCTTCAGTGTTGCCTGGAGGTAGAACAGCACATTCACGATTTAAAATTCCTATACATACCTCAAATGGTAAAGAATGTAAAATTAGCAAACAAAGTAGTCTTGCTATTTTAATTAAAGAAAGCAAATTGATTATATGGGATGAGGCTCCAATGGCAAAAAAATCAAGTATTGAATCACTTAATGAACTCTTAAAAGATCTAATGGACTCGAATGAAATATTTGGAGGTAAGGTTATAGTTTTTGGAGGAGATTTTAGACAAATTTTACCTGTCATTCGTAAAGGAAATAAAACTGATACTATCAATGCATGCTTAATAAAATCTGAACTTTGGCCCCTTCTTGAAAAGCACCAACTTACAGAAAATATGAGAGCTAAATATGACCCATTGTTTACTAAATTTTTGCTAGATATTGGAGATGCGAAAATAAATAACATACAAGATAACACAGTTTCAATCCCTTCACCACTTTTACTAAAATATCATGACGACGATACAAGCTTGGATGAACTAATAAACTTGGTGTATTATTCAGATATTACAAATAATGACTCAAATACTCTGTCACTAAATAGAGCTATTCTAACAACTAAAAATAATTTTGTTAATGAAATCAATGAGAAACTTATTCACAGATTTCCAGGTGACATGGTTGAATATTGTAGCTTTGATGAAGTTTTAAACCCATCTGATCAAGGGCAATACGAAGATATAATAAACAGTCTTACACCAAATGGACTTCCTCCACATAAACTATATTTAAAAGTTAACGCACCAATAATGCTCTTGAGAAATTTAGACCCTACTGAAGGGCTATGCAATGGTACGAGATTGATATGTAAAAACTTAACTCGAAATATTATACATGCAGAAATTGCAGTTGGTCAATTTGCTGGAAAAGAAGTTTTTATACACAGAATCCCACTAGAGCCACCAAAAGATGAACAATATCCAGTACCTTACAAAAGAACACAGTTTCCTGTGCGATTATGTTTTGCAATGACAATAAATAAAGCTCAAGGACAGACATTAGACTATGTTGGAATTTATTTAAAAGAACCTGTCTTTTCACATGGTCAACTTTATGTTGCATTATCACGAGCAACATCAGCATCTAAAGTCAAAATTCTAATCAAGCCACCATTTTTTGAAAAACAAAGCGAAAACCATACTAAAAATATTGTGTATACTGAAGTGCTTGAAGCATCTAAAACAAAAAGTATGTGTTTTCCCCAACTTTTTATGCAAAAATTTACTTTGTTATAATTTACATAAATTTCTATATTTCAACAGGTAAAAATGTCGAGGAAATATCTTTCAATCAACCAAGTTGATGATCATGTTGAAGGCTGGACGGTGTTAATTCAGGTGGTGGAACGCAGCCATATCATGCTCGATCGAAAAGGTTCAACTACACTTAGACGTCACCTGTTAACTGATTCAGAGGTAATATACAAGTTTTCAAATAGTATAGTCTTACTTTGAAAACAAAAAAAAATAATTAGTATTTTCTAAAATGTTTATTCAGGGAACTTTAGTTTCAGTCACCATATTTGGAACTCACATCAAACATTTTGACAAGAACAAGAAATTGCTCCCTTTCAAAAGATACTACATTTCAAATGCAAAGGTTAAGGAAGCTGAACCCATGTACAGAGTTGGCAACTATGCTTATAGTTGGGTTCTATATAGCAATAACTTGGTTGAGGAATTGGAGGAACCCATCCCACCAAATCTTCCATGTCACATTGAACTCAGCAAATTTGAATACCTTTTTAAACATGCAGAAGCAGAAAGGCTACTGAGTATGTACAATTTTTTTTTCTTACTAATATTGCCAAAAAATGTCAGTAAATCTTATTGGTTGACAACAATGATAGTAAGTATTATTATGTTTTAATGTGAAACAGATGTTATGGGAGTAATAGTTCATGCTTTTCCATCAAAAAAAAACTTGGACTCAACCACAAGAGATTTCATCATTGTGAATGAAGAGTATGTCAGCATTAAATTTGTTCTTAGTGTTATTGTTGTTATTATTTTTTATTATTACTACAATTAATAAATCTAGCCCATTGACTTATCTCTGTGACATTTGAAAGAAAACGCTTGATGCTGCTCACTTTATGGAATGAATTCAATACGGAAGAGGGGACCCAACTTGCAAATGACATAGAAAACTCCAATGTCATCATTGCAATGAGAGTCAAAGTCACCACATATAACGGTAAACTTTTTTTCACATACTATTTAACCTTATATCTATATGAAATATTTTTAAAATAAATAATTGTTATTGTTACACAATATATAATATGTATGCATACATTAGGTCTCTCGCTTTCTACAATACCCACAAGTGGCATCATGATCAATCCACCAATGCCACAAACAACTGACCTAAAGCAATGGTAATCAAGTTAATTTTGCAAATAATTTTTTCATATGTCGTTTGTTGTGCAAATCAAAATATTAATGCCAAATATTCAACAGGTACACGGAGAATCGTTCTTTTGTAGTAAACAGCATAAAGGCAGGCACTTATAAAGATCCAACAATTCTGTTCTCACCTCCTGCCGACCAAGACATTTTAGACATTGAAACAGCACTAGCTATTTTGAAGGATGTAAGATAACTAGGAAAATAAATGTTCCATTTTTTGTTCTTCAGATATCCGATATGCTTATACAAATTATAATGTTCGTCTATAGGAAAAAACTGCTTGGGTAAAAGGAACTCTAAAACTAGCAGCCAATCATCGCTCGATGTGGTTTAGTGCATGTGGAAACTGTCTAAAGTCTATTAACGCTCCTCTAGATTGGAACATAAAATGCCCAACTTGCAACCAAGAAACCACTGTGACAGCAAGGTACAATTTTTACATTAATGTGATACAAGTCTATAATAATAAATTTTCTGATATTGAAAACAACTGTCTTTCATGATACTTGTAGATGTCGTCTCGAGATAATCATTTGTAACGAAACAGCAAAAATGAATGCATATCTCTATGGAAAAGATGCTGAAAATCTGATACCTTTCACACCTTTGCAATTAAAAGAAGCAGAGCTCCAGGTATAACTATTACCTCTTATTTCTTATAATAAGCTGTTTGATCATTCTACACGTGTCCATGGACATGAGTTGGCGACGATTATTGCGATTTGGATAATTGTTTGTCTTACCTAACCTTTTACTTTTATGTTTTTTCTTGGTGGGTTTTTGAGGATGTTTTAATACAAGTCATGGATAAGCATTTTCAATTAATGACTTTGTAAATTGTTGCTCTTTTTGTCCCTGATTTGGGCTTGCAAGAAAGCATACAAAAACCATATTCAATTGATGGCTTATTTGATGCATATCACTATAACAGCTTGAGAGTGCAATATCATACAAGTTATGTTGATAAATGCAGTGCATTATTTGCTACTTAATTCACTGGTGAGGCTTTGTAACAAAAACACAAGTAATGATTATAATCACTGTACAAAAGTAAGAGATACATAAAAGAAAAAATAAAAAAAATCCACAGTATTTTTATTTTAAAATACATGTGAAATAGTCAATTTGAATTCTTTATTAATAATGCCCTCTTCTGGTGAAATATCTTTATGGTCTGTGTATTATTATTCTCTTAGTTATAATGAAATTAACCTTTTGTTCCTTGAAGTAAACCTTATACTTATAGCCTGTGTTTTATATAATTCTCTTACTTACGATAAACTAACCTTCGCTCCTTGAATTAAATTTTATAGGGGCGGAGTACTTATGCTGAAGTGGCAGCTGCAATAGGGAAAAAAGAAGTCATTTGTTTTGTTCGCCATTACAGCATTGACTCTCCCAGAGCAAGTAATCAAGAAACAGGTAGCCAAGTCGGAAATCATCACAGGTACACCGTTATCAAACTGTACACAGCAGAAGAAACTCAACAGAGAAAATTAAACCACTTGGTTGATCCTTTTGATACCTCTGGTCATGGGAAGTCTATTGCCAACATTAACTCAAGTGGTTCATCGAGTCAGCAGATTGCTTTTGACAACTTCATTGATCAGACTATGCAAGAAAAGCAATTTTTCAGCCCTACTACAAGCAAAGTGTTGGAAGCAACTGCTGGAAATGTAGAGGAAACTTCAGCTTCAAAAAACCCTAAACCCACAGCAAAAAGACCTCTTGCTTACACAGATGATGCAATGGAAACAGATCTCCCAACAAAAACATCAATTCACAAGCTACAAACCAAAAATTACCCAATTTCAGCTCCACTAAACAAAGAAACACCTGCACCACACAAAAAACCACGAGAAAAGAATGATTGAACCACTAACTACCCAAGATCTTCAGCATGGTAGCTTTTGTGTTATTAAAACATCATTTTGCTAATGCTTTTTGCTATATTAGTGTTATTAAGCAATCACAGTGCTTAATAAATGCTAATATATTTGTCAGTTACTCCTTTTGTTATGTATCTATATGATGTTATACTTTTAATACTCCACTTTATCAGCTGCTTCTTTTGTTGTATATATGTAATGTGAAATGCAAGAAATGCATGTACTACATAACTAATTGGCTATGTTTAATTAAGGTGTTTCTTCTTTTGCATAAAATAAGCGTATCCTCGTGAATCGTGATTAGTCATTGTAGTAAATGCATGTTCAAGTTTCTTTGCTTCTTTATACACTTTTTTGCAATAACTGTTGTAAATGTGATCCTTTGTCCAAGTATGATTTTTTTTTATTTTTATTTTTTTTGTAATATTTACTTGAGTAAGAAAATATATAAAGAACTATGGCTTGATATGCAAGAGAAGCTTGTTTTATATATAAATGTCAAAATTTTAATTGCTTAAAAGTACTTATAAAAAAATATATTTGTATTATGGTTTAAATTATCTCATCAAATTGTTTCCCCATATTAATTCAAAATTAAACACAATAAACATTTCTTATTAAAATAAAACATAATGAACATAACGTGGGCCTGGCTGTGCTGTGCACAGCCGCTTTCCCTAGTAAAAATGAATATACATTATATTATATATCTAAAAATATTATGATGTTAAAATACCAGCTCAATCGATTTAACCATTGGTCTAATCAATAAACTATTAAATTAGTAGGTTAATGGTCATCGATTTGATTAACGACGAATTTTGACAACCTTTAAAAAAAACTAAAAACGAGAGATTATTTGAAGAAAATATTCACAATAAAAAATGACACGATCACGGGGTCACCCGGAGTCAATATGACGATTTTGATAACATTGAATAAAGGAATATAATAATTACATGAATAATTAAAAAGTTTTCCCGACACNTTTTTTGAATGTAAGTGTGGGTTAATTTAAATTCATTTGTGTAGGTTTAACGGTTATGGTCCCTACAAAATATATATTCGATAAGCTAGAACTAACGTCTTGCTTGCGAGAAGAATTTTTGGCATAAATATTTTGAAATTTTGTCGTTTAACTAAATCACACTTTCTTTAAGAAATCTTCATAGTTCGAGAGTCGTATTTCTCATATCGATTACCACGATTTATAATATTTGATACATCATGTTAGTTTGAGCCGCTAGTGAAGAGGAGGCCGGCGGAGATGAGGCTTGCGACATGTTAGGGATTTGCTACAGTGAGGGTTGCGATTTGGGAGAGAGAGAGAGAGAGTGTTAACGTGTGACGGGTAGATTTTGATCAACTAACAAATACATATTAAATAGTTATCAATAGCAATGGAGAAATGAATTTCCAAAGGCTAATGTCATTTCCCACGAAAGTCTAATCGCATATTAATATTAAAACATCTGCTATAGACTCATAAACAATTAAATATGCTGAGAGTGGGCGTAATGTCTTTTTTTTTTCCAACGTCAATTAATCTATTAAAAACCATGCAAGCAATTACAATAGGCAATCATCAGATTGCAAGTCCAAACAGGGGAGTCACATACCAACTCCCCTTACAAATACAACCAACAATAAAGAAGAAAAGAAAACTAGTGCAAACTAGCAAAGGAAAATGAAGAAAAAGAAGATGACAAAGAAAATATGTCAAAAGCTAAGGAGTTACAACAAGTATCAAAGGGTGATTTCTGAATTAACTTAATGTTAACAGATTTGTTCTTGATCATGCAACAACAATTAAGCCATTCAGCCTGCCTAGCCTCGAACATAGTCCATCTAACAGCCTCCAACCACTGCCCTTCTAGACACCCTTCATACCTGATATTATGCTCCAGCATTTGTTCTACTTGACCATGCTTCTTGACAACACAACACATCTTCAGTTGGTTCCTTGAGGAGAGTTGGGCACTGACAATAAGACACCATTGTCCTACCCACTGGGAAATTTCCTCCTCAGGTACCCTCTGAATTTCCCTGACAGCCTCTAATGAAGACTGCACCTTGATCAAGCTATCAAAAAACTCCAACCATTCTGCTCTGGCCCAATCCACAACTTGTTTCTCAGTAACCTTTTCCTGCCTAAACAACCAAGTATTCCTTGTCTTCCAGAGCCACCAAAGTATGTATGTAGATAATGTGATTCTGTCTTTGAGGCTACCAGACAAAGGATGGCTACAGATTTCTCCCCACCATAATTTAAAAGAAGTGTTATGCTAATGAAAACAACTCCACTCCACCCCACTCAGCTTCCAGACAATCTTAGCTCTCTCACAGTTAAACAAAATATGATCCAAATCTTCAACAACACACCCAATCCACTGACATTTTTCTTTTCAGCAGTTGATCATTGGTGCTTAAGAATTGGTGCCAACATCTCCACATAAAATGTTTAATTTTATTCTTGATTGGGAAATGCCAGGTGGTCTGCCACATTCTTGTTGTTGCCATAGTCTGAAGACTAGAGCTGGTTTCCCCCACAGAGCTTAATGATTTATGCAACAGAAACTCTAAGCAGACTTAACACTAAACATCCCAAAATTACCATAATGCCAGATGAGTTTGTCTTTTCTACCAGTACAGGAGATAGGGATTTTCAGTGTCAAGTTAGCTTCTTCTGGCAAAAATGTTTGTTTAACCAACTCCCTGTCCCATCTATTACTCCCAACACTCACCAAATCACTCACTCTAGATAAGTTATCTTTGTCCTCAGGAAAGCAGCAAGTTGGCTTGAAGTTAGGTGCCCTAGGAAGCTATGGATGGTCCTAGATGGAAATGCTCTGGCCATCCCCAACAAGATATCTGACTCCCAATTTCAAGTAAGGTAGAACACCCACCCAGCTATTCCACAGCCAAGACCCTCCCTTAGAATATTTAGCATCTAGCAAGCACTCATTATGAAAATATTTACCCTGCAGCACCTTAGAGATTAGCAAGTTGGGATGAGTGGCAATTCTCCACAACTGCTTGAGCAGAAGAGCTTCTTAAAAAACCCTTAAATTTCTGAACCCTAAGCCACCCTTGCTTTTAGGCTTAGCTAAAGATTCCCAGCAGGCCCAATGAATCCTGTCACCCCCAATTTCATTCTTACCCCACCAAAAAGAAGCCTCCAATCTACAAATGTCCTTACAAAGACCAACTGGAAGCTTAAAGCATGACATCACATAGGTAGGTAGAGCTTTAATGATGGATCTGATTAAAACCTCCCTACCTGCTTCACTGAGGAAGTTGTTCTTCTAGTTGGCCAATCTGTTCAACACACACTCCACCACATATTTGAAAGTGTTTCTTTTGGAAGATCTTATCCCTAGAGGCAATCCCAGGTATTTGGAGGAAGTGACACATTGAATACCATTTAAAATGCTACAAATAGCAGATTTAGAATTGTCTGGGGTGTTTCTAGAAAAGAAAATGGAGGATTTTGACATATTCACACATCGACCTGAAGCAGCCCTAAAGGTGTCCAAAATAGAGGCAATTAACCTAGCATGATAACCATTGGCTTTACAAAACAGAATAGTATCATCTACAAAAAGGAGGTGAGAAACAGGAGGAGAAAACCTACTAATCTTAATACCTAAATAAGCATAATGATGACAAGCTTGCACAATCAAATTGGAGAGGGCTTCAAACAACATAATAAACAAATATGGAGATATGAGATCTCCTTGCCTAATACCTCTAGAGGGTCTAACATAACCTAAAACCTGACCATTAACACAAAAGGAAAAGGAAGTAGTCCTAATGCAAGCAGCAATCCAAGATACAAAAGGATCAACAAAGCCCATTTTCCTACACACTTGAATACAAAAATACCATTCTATAGAATCATATGCTTTGGCTATGTCAACTTTGACAGCCATAACACAGTCCTTACTGTTTAGAAAATGTAAGCATTCATTTGCAAGAACAACATTATCAAGAATCTGCCTCCAAGGAACAAAAGCTGATTGAGAGGCATTAATACAAGGGCTCAAGACAGATTTCAACCTGTTAGCTAATATTTTGGAAATAATTTTATATATAACTGTACATAAAGCAATTGGCCTAAATCTGAAACTAGATAAGGATTATTCTTTTTTGGAATAAGAGACAAAACTTTATGTCATTGACATGTCTTTTTCTTTCAAACAACAACCAAACTAAATAGCATAAACTCATAAACAATTGTCTTACAAGGATTATCCCACTGGATATTAGCCATCCAGTACACTTTGTAAAGAGATACTACAAGCAATGAAGAACTGGCACTTAGTCCTTCTACAAAGCCTCAAGGGCACAAGTTAAAGAACTAGAACAAGTTAATGAATCACAAGTAAAATTACAAGAATCAAACATGAGGACCAGGTTGAGAATTTCATCCACAATGACCTGCACTTCTGTGTATGCAAATTTCTATCCATTGAGCACCTGAACAGTAAGGAGTCCACATGACATTGAATTGTGGTATTAATTGTTGTTGTTACCAATTTCCTAAGAGCCCATCTGACAACTCTAAGATTAGCTTCTTTTTTGCTGTTGGCTGTTTTCCCTCTTTCCGTCACAGGTTGGAATTCTTAACTTTGGGTTTATTTAATTGGGAGGACAAAAAAGTTGAAAAACCCAACATTAAGAGGGATTTATCTTTAAATTATGTTTTAAAAATTAGCAAATTGGATAAATAACCTTGTTATACAGGTATAGACGTTACATAATTATATTATTTCTAATATATACTTTTTATACAAGTGACATGTTTTCAAAATAATATAAATAAAATATAATAATCTTCGTCGTTGAACATACGTATATCATTACTTGTTCCCCATAACAATTTTTGGATATTTGAAATGAATTTCCTTCTATTTGTGGGTAACTATTCTATATCATCAACTTGATTTGTCTTCCCCATCCTTCGGGGTGGGTTAAAAAAAAAAAAGAAAAAAAAAACTAAAACTAGTACAATTTCATATCTCTAATTTTAGAAGGTCATAACTTTACAGTCAAAGAATTTCGAACTCGACATCTTTAATTTAATGACCCCACAATCACTTCATTACAAAATTGAAAGGTAAAAGAAAAGAGGAAAAGAAATTCAAAAAACGATAATGATGGGATATTTAATATTTCATTGGACATGGATAAAATATCTCCACGTTGACAAACAAACACAAAGTTATTTACCACTAATCATTATTTGTATAGAATAGGATCTAAAAATCCAACTACAAGGTGGATAAAAACCCAACTTTAAGGAAGATAATGTTAATTCGAAAGATCATATGCCAAATAAACATAATAAATTACATAAATCACAATAAGCCTTGTATT